AAGTAAATTCCTTTTAAAAGGGTGTGTGCATGCACGTATGTATGTATGCATGTATATGTCTGGCTATATGTGTGTATGCGTATAGTGATTTTTAGTTGAGCTACTAACGACTTGTTTTATTTATACTCCTCTTTACTTCTTGGCACAACCGACGTGGCCACTTTAATTAGCCCTTTTTCCAGCACTGACAGATTTCATTTACAACAACAACAACATCAGCAGTAGTAGCAGCAGGAACAACAACACCAACAAACATGGCTTACATTTAGCAAATATTGATTTAACAAAATTGGCCAACTTTTTTCTCGATTCCCTTCCGTAATAGAATGGACAAAAAAAGTTTCACTCACTTTTGCTTAATTTAGAGTAAACCCATTTACGAAAATTTCTTTTTCAACACTCTATCATCTTTGATTTCTTTACACAAGGCCCTTTTTTATTTAATTAAAATTTTAATTCAGATCTCTTTTGAATTTAAGCACTTTTTCTCTCAAAACTTCCTTTCTTTCTATTTTTTGCCTGAATTTTAAGGCTTTCTAGCCAGGCAACTTTTCAATTTACTTTAATTTCCTTTCACATTTTTGTTTGCACTTTCTTTATAAGGCAGCGGCTTTGCCTTATGTTTTTACACTCGCGTTTTTTATATCAACTCTTTAAAACGACGCCGCGGTCCTTCTAAACGACGAAATTCATTTGTCGGCCCATTTTTGTTTCGTTTTCGACATCAATTACGCGCGCTTTAATTTACTCTTTCACTCTCGTGGCAAGCGGTTTAAGGGAAATTACACAGAAATTCAATTTTGTGTTTTAGCTGTTATTTTTTCTTTCCTTTTTCAAAAATAATATTCATATTTTTTTCTTCTTCTAATATTCTCCTCTTAAAACTCAGGCTTGCCTAACGCAACAAAGTAACACCCGCACGTTACGAAGTCTCTTTACCGTTTAACAACAAATTTCGACATTTTTTCGCATCGTTGTTTCAACTTGCATGCATAGTCGTTCGCTCTCTTACTCTCAGATGAGACATTTTAGAAGTGTAACGGTATTTTACTCACAACACAACATAACATCACACAAACATTTACACACACTGTAATTATGTTGTTGAAAGTTGTTGCTTTTCATCGCAACTTGCATTCGTACTCATTCTCTTCTCATAATTTTTTATTAGACTCTGTTGCTTTTCAGTTCCATCACTTCATAGGGCGCCGAAGCGTTTTCTGTCAAAAAAATCCCAAAACAACAACACTTCAATTTGTTTTCTTTCATTTTATTTACATGTGAAGTTGGTTGCAGTTGATTGTCGAAAGCTTTCGGGCCTATAGTAAAAGTTTGGCAAAAGCTTTTGATGATAGTAAAAGTTATGGTCACATGTTTCTTGTTTAAAAATCCCATTAGGAACATAATTCGTTATACATTAAGGGCTGATCACGGTGGAAAATATTGTCTAAGGTTATTGTAAAAGATGGTGAAGCAGCTTTCTCATTGAAATATAAAAAATTATTTGTTTATTTAACCCATTAAAATTTTAAGATTCAATGGTGCATCCATGGTACAATGAAGAGAAGGTAGGTCAACTTTGAAAAAATTGCAAGTATAGAGGTCTACCTGTTTGGCTTGTAATGTCAGAATCACTATCAAAACAATAAAAAAGCAAACAACTTGTTGCATTGATTTTGAATAAATAATTAAAACCGCGAAAACTGAATGAATGCTCAAAATTTCAAGGCAAGGCTGTAAACAACTTGTTGATTTAGGTTTGTTTGGTTCAGTGGTTCACTTACATTTGAACTATGGTTCGATTTTTGAAATGGTGTTTCAGGCGGCTCATACCGTGGACGTATATAGACAATAATCTGCCACAAGAGGAAGAACCCCCTACGAACTCTAGGTAGCTAATTGTAAAGAATTCCTTTAGAAAATGTGAACCGACGTGGCTCATTTACGAACTTACCCTGCCTACGGACAAAATACACATGTGAGCAAAATGTTAGCCTTTAACAGGCATACGGACATAACAAAATCGAGAATTTTACGCCGATCCAGATTATAAGACTTTGTAGGGTATAACACAAGTATTTCGAGGAGTTACAAACGGAAAGACAAAGTTAATATACCATAGTATGGTAGATGGTATAATAATAAAGCGTTGCTTACATAAAATCTGCAACTTACTGCAACTAAGGCAAACGTCATAATTTATGTATTTTTTTAATTTTATTGAATGATAGCAAAAAATGTCGGAAATAGCACCAAATTTTAGAATAAGTTTAGATTTGTTCGAATTGGTCACCTTTTGCACGAATTATGTTCTTCAAACGGCCAATGAAACCGTCACACGCTGCCTGAATGTTGCTCTGCGGTATTTTGGCCCATTCCCGGCGAAGCGCTTGCTTGAGGTGATCGACACTTTGCTTTCCAAAATACTCCAGACACAATAGTTCAACGGATTGGTATCCGGAGATTTTGGTGGCCATTGTGCGCTTGAAATGAAGCGAGGAACCTCATTTTGTAACCATTCTTGGGTGGCGCGTGCTGAGTCCTGTTTGAATGTCCATGGTCTGCGGACAAAATGTTTGCATGCCCAAGGCTTTAATAACCCTTCAGAATATATTCGCGATAATATTCGGCATTTATTCTGATGCCACGGTCGATGAATACGAGCGGAGAGCGACCATCGGCTGTTATGGCAACCCACACCATCACCATGGCCGGCGCTTGAGTTCTGGTTGCCAACCGAAGGTGCACATTTTCAGCTGACCTCTTTGGCAAGTACACACGATGCTTTTGTTTGCTTACAATCTGTTTGCTTACAAACTGCTGGACAACGAATGTTTTCTCATCGGAGAAAACCAAATTCGGCAGTTCACTACTTTTGGCTAAGCGAAGAAACTCTTTAGCTCTTTTGAGTCTATTTTCTTTCTGTTGCGGTATAAGTTCTTGCACTTTTTGGAACTTCAATGGCTTTACCCCGAGCTCATTTCTCAATATTTGCCGAATGGAATATTGCGATATATTCAGCGCACGAGCCATTTTTGGCTACTTGTCGAACCATTTCTGCTGATGTTGCTGTTTTCTTCCGTCCACTTTCTTAACGTCGGGCTACGCTACCTGTATCATGGTAACGATCGATAGTACGAGACACAAAAGATTTATTTACATTTGGGAAAAAAAATCTTGTCCGACAATCTTGGACTATATTTTGTTGAAAATTTCCAAAATTCCATTCAAGTTTTTTGGATTTTCCCCAATATAACAATTTTGTAATAAAAATGTTAAATAAACAAAACCAATTGTTGCATGTTCGAAAAGTCTATTTGACATAATAAGACTCTAGTAAATAATTGCATTCCTAGTTTCCTTGAAGTTGAGCAACCTTTTCTATTGAGCCATGGTGCCACCTACAGTGTTTTACCAGGGCGGTATTAAGGTCGGTTCCACACCTTACACCGTTGCCCTAGGGGATGAAGAATTAATATTTAACATCGACATACTTAAAAAAAACGATCACAAACATACCCAGGTTCTTTCTTTGAACAGCATTTTGTATACCCTCCACCATACATAGTATTGAGGGTATGTTAAGTTCGTCATTCCATTTGTAACTCATCGAAATAATCATTTTAGACCCAACAAAGTATATATATTCTTGATCAGCGTAAAATTCTAAGACGATAGCCATGTCCGTTCGTATGTCCGTCTGTTGTAATCACGCTATAGTCTAAACGAATTAATATAGGAAGCTAAAATTTTGCACAGATCCCTCTTTTGTTTGCAGGCAGGTCAAGTTCAAAGATGGGCTATATCGGTCCACGATATCGTATAGCCCCCATATAACGGTAACCCCCCCCCCCCCCAATATTCAGTATTATTATGATTTTAGCCACATTTTCTAATGGAATGGTCTGAAAATCCACACAAGAAGTTGCTTACGGGTACTTTATCCCTTGGAAGAGAATTATCTATATAGGTCTACGATATCATATAGCCCCCATATAACGGTACCCCCCATATTCGGTATTTTGATGATTTTAGCCACATTTTTCAACGGAATTGTCTGATAATCCACACAAGGAGTTCCTTGTAGGTACTTTATGCCTTGGAAGATAATTACCTATATAGGTCTGCGATATCGTATAGCCCCCATATAACGGTACCCCCAATATTCGGCATATTGATGATTTCAGCCACATTTTTCAATGGAATTGACTGAAATTCCACACGAGGAGTTCATTTTGAGTACTTTATCCCTTGGAAGAGAATTATCTATATAGGTCTACGATATCGTTAGCCCCCTACATAACGGTACCCCCGATATTCGGTATTTTGATGGTTTTAGTTACATTTTTCAACGGAATTGTCTGAAATTATACACAAGGAGTTATTTGTGAGTACTTTATCTCCTGAAATAGAATTGTCTATATAGGTCCCCAATATCGTATATCCCCTCATATATCGGCACCTTCCGATATTAGGTATTTTAAAGATTTTAACAGAATTTTTAATGGATCTACCTATCTAACCAAAATGAACATTATCTCTTTAAGATGTATCATGAAATGGCTGTATATTTCTCCAGAAGTCAGTTGATGTAATAAAATAAGTAAAAAAGCAGCCAAGTTTGGCCGGGCCGAACTTTTAATACCTTCTACCAATTGGAAGGAACTTGAATGAAAAATGAAAACATTTGTAAGGGGAAAACATTTGTACCCCTAAAATGAAAACATTTATATGGGGACTATACGAAGACGTAGACATGCATACGAAAATTTTTATTTTTTTTGTTTCCTAAAAGATTTAAGCTGATTGGAAAAATATGACTGCCTGCTACCTTGATGCTACCAGAGTTAAATAAACAAATAAATTATTAAAACAATAACCAATGCTCATACTTACCAATACAGCTGTAAAGCACAATCTGAACTGTGGACAGTGTTGAATAGAATAAAACTATTAGTTGCCAAGGCAACACAGATGGCACATGTTGCCAGGACAGAGGCTAGTCGCTTTGCTTTTTATTACAAAAGGACACGTTGCCAGGATAAAGTCATAAATAAAAAAATCACCAAAAATTAAATGAACGGTGTTTTTCTTTGGCCAGTAATCAAATAAACTCAACGAAGCGACCAACTCATAGAGGAAAACACACAAACAATTACCACAAAGGAAATACCATTTTCCGGAGAGGATATATCAAAGTTATTAAATTATCGACAATGGCAACATGTGTCATTTTGTTGCCATGGTTGCAATAAATTAGCCATTGATATATTCGAAGAATTTGAAGACAATATTTTTCCATTGTGAAGTTTTGGAAAACTTGTCATATTTTTTTCCTATCGTTTTTTATTTTCTAACAAACCAACACTGACTTTCGATTAATCAGGACATTTGAGAATTTCTAAGTGCTTTCTAATTAAGGACACGTGATGAGCGCCGAATCATTTATTTCAGATGAGGAACGCTATGCCGACGATACATTTGAACAAGAATCTGACACTGAAGTGCCGGAGGCAACTGAAATTGAAAGTGAAATATCCGAAGTTAGTGATGCAGAAGACAACGATGGCCAAGGACATGATTCGGCCAGTAACTCAAAAATGGTAAATTAATTTGATGCAATTTTGATTTCAATATTTATGTTCATATTTTCGTTTATTTGTTTAGGTCCCCTTTAGATATAGTGCCCCCCTACAAACAGATGCCGTGCCATTTGACAGTTCATCGGACGAGGAGGATGATGTTATTGTGGGCCAAACATTGGTGGAGATTAATACACCATCTATGCATTTCCAAGAAGAGGAAAATTTGACAATGACACGTATACGTCGTGAAATACGTCCACTAAAATATCAAAAAACACAACCTTTGAAGAGTATTGATGAGGACAGTGATGGTTCTGTTAGCGAAGAAGAATCCCTTGTTGACAGCGAAGAGGAAAGGGAATTCCAAAAGATCCGTGAAATGGAAGAACATTATTTGCTACAGAACTCAGCCAAGACACCGAAACAAATCAACAGTAGTGAAGGTAGCAGTAATCGTTTGGAAAGTGTGCAATCAGATTCCAAAACTTCAGCAAGTGAGAGTTCCCAGGAAGACAAGGATGATGACTCAAACTCTCTGCACAAGGAAGAAAGTTTAGGAACTGAAAAACAAACACCCAAGGAATCTGAAATAGATCCCATACCAGAATTGATCGACAAAATTATGGAACAATTTACACCCATACCCCAAATACCACAACAAATTCAAACAGATTTTGTAGAAATCGTTGGAAATTCTTTGACCAGTTTACAAAACCAAAGTAGAGATGTCGAAGAAATTGATACCATCGTTACTGATGACTTGCCACAACCATATCATAGGCCAGATGATTCCATTCGTATGACATTCAGCTTTGAACCCAATCACATTTTAAGTCCTGAAAATATTGCAAAGGTATTTTTCGATGCTATGAATGCTACAAATATTACCTATGCTTCGGAACAGCAGAAATCACATTCGAAGAGCGACGAATCACAGAATCTTGAGGAACGCAAAGAAGCGAATGCTGAAAATTATTCTCAAAGTAGAGGTAACTCTGTGGAAGAGAGAAATAATAAACAAAATGATGAAATAAGTAATGAACATGGTGACAAGGAAGTCGAATTGGAATATCACGAAAAATCCTCATCTCCGGAAGGTGTTGATAATGACAACTATTACGAAGATGAAAGCTACTACGATACCCAATTTGAATATCAAATAACCAGCAAAACACCCAGCTGCTTCAATTCCGAAGATTATGTTTTTCATGCTAATTTCATAAGACCATCTCCAACAACGGATCGTTTCAGGTAATACCGAATGCTTTCTATTCTATGGGAGGATATGATAGAGCTGTAGTTTGTATTCAGAAATAGTAATGAAAAAATAAGAATTCGGATATCAGCAGATATTCTTTAAGAAAACATCAGTCGGATTAGCCGACAGATGTATACCCTCAACAAATGTTGGATATGATAGATTGTATTATGACAGATAAAAGTATTGAAAATTGTGACCCTTTGTGGGTGAGATACCAGAAGAGGTTCGTAGATATATATCATCTTCATAACAGATCTCGTGTTATATATTAAGAGAGTCGGATACTTATTTCGCTCTCTTTGAGCTTTTTTTGAACCCTGTGTGGGGGAGATGGCAGAAGAAATGGACTTATCTCTACCATCTTTATAACAGTTCTTGTGTTGATGAAAATATTGATATGTACCCAGTCTGAATGAAATCAGATGTTCATTTCGAGTTTTATAAGCTTCATGGATATTTAAAGCTTTGACAAGGAAGGTACCAGAAGGAGTTTACCGATATATTCCATTTTCACAGGGGATTTTGTGTTAGAAATAATGGGATGCGTGAAATACGAAGAGAAGTGGATGCTATTTTCGGATTTTATAATCGTTTTGGCTATTCAAAACTTTGACCCTTTGTGAGGGAGATACCCCAGAGGTACCATCTTTATAACAGATCTTATGGTGATAGAAATATTGACATGTGCCAAGTCTGAATGGAATCGTGTTTTATGTGCTTCATGGATATTCAAAATTTTAACACTTTGCGGGAGAGGTACCACAGGGAGTGGACCGATAATTTCCATCTTCACACCAGACCTTGGATTAATAAAACATCGCGAAGTGTGTAATTTGATGACAATTGGACTTTTACGTCACATTTTATAAGAGTTATAATTATTAAAAATTTTGACCTTTTATGGAGGAGGTACTCCATTTTCGCACCTGACTTAGCATTGATGTAAATATAGGAATTTGCAAAGTTGGAACATCCTTTCTCTTTCTATGCAGTATAATATATTTTTTTTAATTTTTAACCTTTTGCTTGGATATACCGGAAGGATTGGGCCGATATTGCCCATTTCCGAACTCGATATATGTTTGATAATAATATTACGATGTACGATAGTTTGGACCAAATCGGATACTCCCTTCGAAAGTTATCGTGCGCACCAGCCAGCAGACAGACGGACGTACGTCGCTAGATTGACACCAAATGCCCTGAAAAGAATTTGATCCAAGAGACCTAAGGTTTAAAACGGTTATTTCGATGAGGCATGTTTTGGCCGTATCAAGTGATATATACCTTCTGTTGCCATATGGCTGAGGGTATATTTATTGGCTTATTTGTTGTATATATCTTAATCTTCACAATCTACCTCTTTCATTCATGTTTTCAAATATTGAGACAATTTGATCAATATTTAAATTATGGGACATTAATGTACTCAGTATTTGTAGTTAAAAATTTTAAAAAAAATTATAATTGGTTTTTTGCCAGAAGGCTCTTGAAAAAATCTCTGAATATTGGGATTCTCGTATCGATGACCTTTTCTACAATGTTCTGAATAATAATTAGTCAAAAGGCCTTTGAACAATTTTCTTTTAAAAAATTGTCTTAAATATTAGATATGGTTTGTTAGTACACTCTTAAAAGAAATGTTTGAAAAAAACGATCTTTAATATAAAAAATGAAAAAATCCATGATTTGTATTAGGTAGACCTGTATCAGTAGTATCTTGAAAATACTTCAAAGTTTTGGTCTGGGGTTACATGAAACTAATTGCTTGAAAAAATATTATTTTTTATAGAAAATTACAATATTTGTTCGGAAGATCTGTATAAATATTCTGAAAACCCTAATATTTTTTATCCAGAAAAATCTGCTACTTAAAAATCGACGATTTCTGTAAGGAAGAATTCGCATTCTTCGCTGCGTTTTACATGCGGTTAGAGTTAAGAACAAAGCCTGTAAGTTTCAATGGTCATTAAATCAAATTGTGTGAAAAATAGTCAAAATTCCAATCAACCCAATTTTAATTAAATTCACTTCCCGTTGAAACCACAACAACCAATCCTAAATAGTTTCTTTACTTTTGTCAGATATTTCTTGATTTTTGCAGATATTTTCTACATTACTATGCTTATTTGGTAACATAGCGAACTTCAAAGGGTACTAATATTTCTAATTTTTAAATTCTGGAATGAAAAGAGGTTAATTCGCTATTATTTTTATTTAAATTTTTAAAATTTTGTAACCATTTTTAACTACCAACTTTTCTAAACTGAATTAATCTATTTCAGAGTAAAATCACATCCTCGAAAAAGTATGAGTTTCTCCAATGAACGCATGCGCGAAATCGAACGTCACAATCAAATTTTATTGCGTAAAATTCTTACTCAAAAACCCACTTACGTGGCAAAGAGTGCACAACACAAATCTCAATCTTCTAAGGTATTTTTCTAAAAACGAAATACTTAATGTATAATGAATGTATAACATGTTGAATATTTTTCAGACAAATTCCCAAACAAATGTTCGTCTGACAACATCAGCTGTAAATCGTAAAAAACAACAAAGGCAAATCGATTTGGATAATCAGGTATTAAAACGTAAACTAGAGGCTATAGCCCTGCGGCGAAGACCACTAATAACATAATTTAACTAATTTCCCCAATTGCGGTATATAATTCCTCAACAATATATTTTCTAGTTTTTCAATATATATATTCAAAAATAATAAATATTTTATTTTTGTCAAAACTTGATGATTTCTTATTTAGATTTTTCTCAAATATAAACAATTAGATACCATAATAGATGCTTCTCAAAACTTGATAGTTTTTGGATATTAACATTTTTTTATCAAAATTAAAAACAATTGAATACGATAAATAATATATTGCGCTTAACTTAATTAACAGTAAAAATCAGTCAGCATTTGATATAACTTTGGGGAATTAAATTGCAACCTCTTCAGCTTTTTCATTAAGGAAACTTTCACCCAATGCCTTGACAGCTTTAAATGCAGCTTCGCCATTTTTCTCAATAAATTTCGCTTCGTTTTCCTCTTTAAGTTTTGCTCGCCTTTCAAGCTCTCGATAAATTAATTGACCAATCTGTAAAGATAAAAAATAAATTCTTAGAAATAATTAAAAAAATCGTTGTATCAACTTACATAAACGTCTATGGCAGCGTACATCAATTGATCCTCATCCAATGGAATAACATGCCATTTGCTCATTCGTACTTTTTTGTTTTTATCTATAGCCTTTCCAACCTGCAAACAATGAAAACAACTCTAGTTTAGTAAAAACTCTTTGATTTTTTAGAGGTAAGCATTTTTCATTGCTTCCAATGTAAACTTTAAAATGGTACCCAGACTGCAAAGACTATAAAATATTCTAAACAAATTCAATAAAATATGTCCAAAAAAATACTTCTAGTTTTTCGTTCACATTTCTCTGAACTTTTTACAGGAAGTCATTACAATATGTTTTGTCCTAATAAAAAAAATGTGAATCGAAATACATGATAGTTAAGATATGGACTCAAATTCAATATTTAAGCATTTGCTCATTCATTATTGCAGAGCAAAATCAAGGGTCGTTAATCATCATTTTCATATAAAATTAAGGTTGTCTTGACTTATAAAAAGTACGACACAACTTACCACATAACTTGCTAAGCGATCTAAACTCCAGCGTCCGCCAGTTTCACATACTTCATTGCACCAAACCCCCAGATCCAAGCCATTCACAATTAAATCATCTGAATTAATTTCTGGGAAGTCCCTACCCAACTTACGGAAATCACTAGAAAGAATCACATTAAAAGCATATACATAAGTTATTATTTGTAATCAAATATGAAATGTAAAACTTACTTTTTAACATTAACACCATGCAAACGTACCCGCTTGTGTTTAAGCAAGGCAACAAGAGCTGCAGGCAACTTCTTGAGATTCGTCAGTTGAAATATATAACAACACTTTTCTTCGGCGCAGATTTGTATAACCGCGGATTTGCCTGGACCAGTTTTAAATGAAAACGGCCATTCCATGTCAAATGCGATGGGTACCAGGCCATCTCCAGGTTGTTTTTCAACAAATTGTCTATAATTGAAATACATTTCATTATTATGGGAAACTTATTTCAGAAAAACTGTACTTACATTAAACCATCAGAGGCTTCGGCAATTTCGTTACCATCTGTGAAATATTTAATAGCTCCTTTGTACTTAACAAATGGTAATTGTTTCTTTTCTTCTTTTTCCGGCGATGCCGTGGCTCCCTCTTCAGCCATGGAACGTGTATTTCGTGTGCTCCTTGTACTACGTCTCTTTGCAGGGTTTTCCTCATTTTCCTTATCTTGTGTGGTCTACGGAGAGTAAAATGAAAACACCAACGTCTACTACTGAGAAAATTTTTGCATTACCATTTTGTCCTCATCTTTTGAATTCATCGCTACCTTTAAATTACGCTTGCGTGGTGGCATTTCTGTGCAGATTTATTTTCTTTGTATAATTTTAGCAACAATCAACAACCTCAAATGTCCGGTTACAACGAAGGAATGTGACGAAAAACTTTGTTTACATTCCATGTTTATAATTAAAGCGCGCCAAAATGCTTATACAGTCTGCGTTGCCAACTACGCATTTGTCGGCATAATATCGGCCGTGTTTACATTATTTCAACTAATTTAAAGAAACGAACAGGCCACAATTAATTTTCATGTATAAGTTTATCTGATTACTTTTCCTGCTGGAACTGTCAGCAAGTAAGATTTGTATGTCATCAAAAGCCATGTTTCCATTTATCTATTCATGGCATATTAATGTCAAATTATATGGGAAAACTACAGCAACTCTGATATCCCTTTATGTTAAGTCACAAAGTATATATTAATAAATTTCTTAAAACAGAATCAGTCCTTAATTTGATGTGTGTTTCAGTGTGAATGAACCAACATGAATCGTTGGCTCTGTTTTAGACTTAAAAAGAAAAAACTTTTAATTTTTGTTTTTTGTTACTCTTTGATCAAAAATAGTAGCAAGCGGAAATTGACCCCAACTATTTATAATTAAACAAAATACTCTCAACAAATACCATGGTAGAAGAACCCAGTTAGATGCATCAACCCTTGGGGATATTCATATGTCAAAAAAGTTTTTAATGTTTCTTCAAAAATTAATAGATGTTTATGGGTTTTCCTTTACGGACTTATTGGAACAGATTTAGCTCCACGAATTTCATTCATCCTTTGTTTTTTTTTTTTAAATAATTTTTAAAATAAGGAAAAATATTGATTAAAGCACGGTAGAATTAAGAAGGTAAAGTCATGGAATCATATGTTTACAATGTTTTTCCAAATTATTCATTTGACAACATCTCATTGTCAAAATTTATATTTATAAATCCATTTTATACACACAAATCATTAACGGAATCATGGTAATAAAGTTGACTTATTAAGCGAAGAAAATAAAAGAAAACTAAAAAAAACTATTTTATTTATATAATTTGTCATTCAGAATTTTGAATTCGAAAAATGTTTATTGTTGCCTCAGCTGCGTTGATGAAAATTCAAATGACTATTTTTGCTACCAGATTTCCAATGTAAATATAGCAATATTCTTGTATATTATGTGTGGCCAACATACTGAAACTATTTTAGTTGGCAACACTTAGCTTTCAACACAGATGTTCCTGTTTACCGCTTCTTTTTGCACGCTTAACCCCAAATAAACAATCGGTTTGCTGCTAATAAACAAAAGTTGAAGGATATAATTTTTCCAGAAAAAATACACAATTGCAACAAATATAGCAATGGCTGATGCAAAAGTCAATACATTTTTCATCTCAGAAAAGATTTCCAAGGTGCGTTGGGTACCAGAGCAACTGCGTGAAAGCGAAAGATTTCTGACCGGTAGCTGGGATATGCCAAAGAATTTTTTGCGTATCTGGCGATTGCATCGGAATCAGTATGATGGTTCGGAATACAATGAATTTGTTCCCAGATGTAGTGATAAACTGGCTATGAATGGCGATGTTACGGGCATTGAATTTGTTACAGACGATACAGCTGTAGTAAGTTGTAGCGATGGTAAGTCTTAAAAACAGATTTAGGTGTATTTTATTAAATCACTGGCTTCTTTCAATAGGCCGCGTAACCTTGTTTAGAATTAAAAAGGCTGTGGAAGAAGACGTTTTACAAAAGGAAGCCAATAGTGAGCTATTACACAGTTTTAAAGCTAGTGGCAAATGTTCCAGTTGTTCATCTATTTCCGTATATGGCAAAGATGTGGCTACAGTTGGAGAAGATGGCCGTTTAAATATTGTCGATACACAGGCTCACTTAGCTGTGCGACGTTCTATAGAAGCCGATAGTTGCTCACTGCTATCTGTACTTTATGTTAATCCCCAAGAAGTGTTGACAGCCAATCGTATGGGTATTATACGGATGTTTGATATAAGATCGTCTTCTGATGGATCTGCAACTACGGCCTTTATGACCTCATGCGAAGATGAAAAACGCTGTAACTATGTTTCCTGCTTAACATCTCATCCAACACAGCCACATGTTGTGATGGCCGGCTCTGAAGAGGGTTCCATTACGGTTTGGGATTTAAGAAATCCAGGATATCCTGCCTCATATTTATCGGCCCACACTAGTCCCATAACTGATATTGGTTTTCATCGTTCCGATCCATCTAAGCTGTTTACCACTGCCGAAGCAGGTGAACTATGGCTTTGGGCACAACATCCAACCATGAGTGGTGGTGTACACCGTGCTATGGAACCATCAACGACCGCAACAGAAAATACCAATCCATGGTTGAACGGAGAACGTGCCAAAAATCGCATAAGTGTTACGGCTCTAATGACAGACTTGCGAAAGGCAATTAATTCATTTGATACACAAAGTTCTAAGATAATCTGCGGAAGTGATAGTGAAGCAATTTATTTTGTAGATAATGTATTATAAGGCAACAACGATTTTGACCCTGGTGGTGAAGATTGAAGTGGATGCAAGTTAAAAAATAATAAATTAATGTAAGATTTTTCTGTCTTTTATGGAACCATAGTTTTAACATTTCATACTTTTTGTTTCTTTTAGAATAGCACCAATTTAAGAAATTAAAGCAAATAATTGAAAAATAATCGTAAGAACTTAAAAAACTCGTGAAATCATTACAGTATATCAAGATACCCATTTGAATAAGACATAAGATAAGCAAGATAAAAATTAACTTTTTAAGGTTGGTAAGTTGGTTTCATTTATTTCATATTTTTGTACGTATGTACTTATTTCTTAGATTTGCTGATATGATTTTCGACATTGTTCAACTCATGTCGATTCGCAACATTATAGACTTCAAAATTTTCCTCAACGTTTTTCATTTTATATGTTAAGATCAGTATGTAGAAACGCTTCCTGCAACTAACTGTGAGAAAAATGCCATTGTTCCACCTGTGCATCCTGATATTCAGTGATGTTATGGCTCAATTTCCAATAACCAACCGATTTGCCTGTGATTTTACACTTGAAGTCCGTTTCTTAATAGTCCCAATGTAGACTAAATTACTTGTCATTTTTGAAGTTCTACCCACATTTTTTTACTTTAAGGTTACAATTTAGTATTTCGGGCCAAATGCATTTTCTTCCAGTATTATATTGACTCGCTAAAGTTATAATAGGTCTGCGTAGATTTTTTGGAGCGGTATGTGTGTGATTTATTGATCTTGGTATTGGAATGTAATTTTATAACGTAATTTACACGATAATTTGGCACTTTTCCCGCACTCTGCTATAGTTGATGGATATCGTTGGAAAACTCAACTTAGTTAAGCTAAAACTTATGGTAGCTCGAAGTGCAACATTCTCGGTGCTGATTTTATTACAAATCGGTTAATCTCCTGGCGTTTTATTGTAATAGGGGCAATTATTCTGGATGTTCCAAGACGGTACTTTCTGCATCACTATATAAGGATTTGGATGACCAGCAGAATCTTCCCGTCTATGGTCCATGTTTGGTATATGCCAATTAGTTTGCATTTCTCTATGAAAATTTCACAAAATCCACTAAACTAGAGCGAATCATGCAAATGGTCGTACTATTTCTTGATTTAATCATAAATGGTTTTCTTGTGGAACACTTATTTCAAGTTTCTTATTTTTCTAAAAAAATATATAAAAGTAAGTTATAAAATTATAACAACGGCTTACATTGAGCAAAAATAATTGCCGCACTTATCAGTTTTTGTTATATTTCGACTTCCATTATTTGCACTGCATTAGAATGTCAACGAACAGTAAATAAATGATACAACTGTTTTGTTATTTTTGATGCATCACCTACAATTTAGTTGCTTGACATGTAACGGCTCCACTATTTCATATTGTCGAATTAAAAAATTATGAATCATTTCACTTCGGACTATAATTTTGGATGCATTACTTGTCTAATAACCTTTTAACTCAAATGGTGAATGTGGGTTTATAGTAATGTATAGCCAAAAAATATGTAATATGTATGGAAGAGTTTGTCATTAATTATTTTGAGTCCTCAATGGGTGTAAACTAGGGCAGAAAGCTAACGGGTTCGGAGAGCCCATTCCAGGGATCCTTTTTTACTTTCCTGTTGATTTTTTTGTTGCTTTCTTCATAAATGGTCAAAAGTTGTTCAAGGTTTGCTTTTAGCATCTTTATAACCTTAGCTTCTAAAATATTTCCCAGGGTTTCAATTTTTTATATTTTTATTTTTCAGTGAATATCTATATGTATAAAAGAGAAAAATGTTTTTATGTTTGCAATTTATGGACTCGAAAACCGCTGAACAGATTTTCCTCAAAATTTCCAAGTATATTACAACATCACCTGAAAGTAACATAGGCTATATACATTTTTGAAATTGCACTTGGAACTGGAGATATGGCATCAGAATCGGAAGTACCTCCCAAAATTTCAGATTTTATATGTACATATGTATTGGTAGATTACACATACAGTCTCCAAATTTGGAATGCATAACGGAATTTGGAACAAAAATAAATTTGCCAAATTATATTGAAATCGGTTCAGATTTGAATATAGCTTCCATATATATTTTCGGCCGATTTCATGTATTTGATGCATTAAACACGCTGTGTTCGCCACATTTCAATGAAATTTGGAATATGTGATGCAATTTGTCTAAACAATTGTTTTGCCAAATTATATTAAAATCGGTTCAGATATGGATATAGTTCTCATATACATATTCGTCCGATTTCATGTATTTGATGCACCAATCACGCTAAGTATCTCTAATTTCAATGAAATTTGGAATGTGTAACGGAATTTAAAACGAACATACATTTTCCAATTTTTTTTTTATATATTCAATTAACACAGTTACCTAGCCCCTAGGGCATGGACGTCTCCAAAAACTTCTATACATAACTACTCTAAAATTATTTATAATATTCTTAATCTTAAAGATAATTAAAATTAAACATTAAAACAAATTAACAAAAATAAAAAATAACAATTGATTAAATAATAAGATGAATCAGCTATGCAAGAGCAATACAAAAACAAACAAGAAAATCAAGAAAATTTTTAAACAATATGTTGGTTGAGGTGAGCATATAATTTATGCTTATAACATTTTAAGGAAAAATTAAAGAAGAATTTAAGGAAGAATTATATTGAAATCTGTTCAGATTTGGATATAGCTCCCATACCAAACACGATATGTATGCTCTATTTTAATGAAATTGGAAATGAGTGGCGGGATTTGATTAGAAAATAAATTTGCCAAATTATATTTAAATCGTTTCAGATTTGGATATAGGTCCCATATATATATTTTCGACCGATTTATTTTATTTGATACACCAAACACAATATGTTTGTTCGATTCCAATGTAATTTGGAATGAGTGACGGAGTTTAAATCGAACATACATTTGCCAAATTACATTGAAAGTGGTACAGATTTGGATATAGCTCCCATATATATATTTTAACCAATTTCGTTTATTGCACCAAACACGCTATGTATGTTCGATTCCAATGAAATTTAGAATGTGCGAGGGGATTTTATCAGAAAATAAATGTTTTCAAATTATATTAAAATCGGTTCAGATTTGGATATAGCTCCCATATGTATTTTCGGCCGATTCCGTTTATTTGATGCACCAAACACAATACGTATATCCGATTCCACGAGTGACTAAATTTGCTACAAAAATAAGTTTGTCAAATTATATTCAAATCGTTTCAGATTTGGATGCACTAAACACTGTATGTACCTCTAATTTCAATGAAATATGGAAGGTGTGACGGAATTTGGTGTAAAAGTAAATTTTGTTAAATTATAATAAAATCAGTTCAGATTGGGATATGATTTTATTATGAAGCATTGACCCACAACGCGTTTGCAATGGTATTATACAACAATTTAATTGAGGATACGATTATTACGCTACCTCGAATTCTTTAATTGCACCAGAAATACCACTCAACTTCAAAAGATTGCAGTTTCCTGCACGCTTGGCATTTGCTATGAATAAATCCAAAGGACAAACCCTTCGTGTATGCGGACTAAAGTTGGCATGTTCCTACTTTTATCATGTTCAGCTGTTCCTGGCATGTTCATGCGTTGGTAGACCAAGCTATTTGTTTGTTTACGTATAAAAGTATTACAATAATTACGTTTTTATTTTATTTTTTTTTAATTTGTTTTATTTTGTTTATTTGTAAGCTAACAAATATTTGTATATAAAATTTTGAATGCATGTAAAATCGACAGGGGTAGTGAAGCGCACCGTATTTAGCTAGTATTTTATACAAATATACCTCATCAATGGTAATTTTCAATATAAGTGTACCAACATATTACTTGTTTCTAAGATTTTCTTAACATTTTCCAGTAGGTTTGGGAATTTTCCACCTCAAAAAAGTTTCACTGTGGGGTTGTTGTGTTATTGTTTGGGATTTTAAATATTTTAGTTACATTTAATTAAAAGCGTCATTCTGATCTGGCCTTGATTTTTTGACGTTTTCTCTTGTTCTACTACTATTTAACCAATAAATCACACATTTTTTATAAATATCAATACAATATTTTTGAGAATTGTTTTGAATGTAATCCTTTGATTTTTTAATATTAATTTCACTGCAATAGTTAAAAAAGAAAACGAAATAAAAAACACTGGGCTCAACCGGGATTTGAACCCGGGACCTCTCGCACCCAAAGCGAGAATCATACCCCTAGACCATTGAGCCTCATATTGGCCGCGGTTGCTATCACTGGTACTGTTGTTAAGTTTTTTTTTTTTTTGCATAAAGCAAAAGACTTGAATACGAGTTGTTTTCAACAATATTTTGTATTCACAGGTGTTTTTTTATATTGAATTTGTTTTACTAAGAAAATTAATGCTTTTACATCAATTTTATTGTTGTTTTTCTATCATTTACTGATATTTGACAATTCATAACTATAAAATTGATTGACTAAATGAGAAGAAGTTATTGGAAAAATTGAAATCTCGAAATGAAATCTTCAATTTTCATGTAATTTAAAATATCTTATATTAGTAATTTAACATCTAATAGCATAATTAACAACTTTAAGTGGTGTTTTGCTCTTACTCCAAAGTCCCGTGAGCATCCTACTACCCATGCAACAAATTCTGAGTTGTAATAACACAGTCTCTTGTACGTAGTATGTTCACCATAGAGAAGAAGAATAACGTCGACAAGTTGCATTTTCACAATATAACCGTTTTTTGTAGATACCAAAAGTATTCTCCCTCGCTCTTTCTTAACCCCCAAACGCCCCATATATCTTTTTATTACAATGTTTTATTTGAATGGTAGATACAGTCAAAAACTTATCGGGCTCAACCGGGATTTGAACCCGGGACCTCTCGCACCCAAAGCGAGAATCATACCCCTAGACCATTGAGCCTCATGGTGACTCATTTTGCTACGACAGCTATAGCATTTAATTTTAAATGCTTCGTTTAAAAATAGAAGTTAAATACCTGTTGTTTTTAATAACAGTTTGTATGCACAGCTTGTTTTTTGATATCAAGC